AAAACTTTGTCGAAGAATCTTCAAAGAACAAAAATATCCCATGGGGTGGCTGGTGGTGAGTTGTGTTCAAAATTTCTAAGTGGGATGGTATAATCGCGCATAAAAAACAATGTAGTGCATTTTGATTCGATTTCAATGCATGGTTTTTATTATGGGATACGTTATCTTCATCTCGAATCAAAATTATTGAAGATTTTTTTCCCGATCTTATTTTGACCTTTCAGATTCATTGAAATTGGGCTCCCTGGCTCCCTAATTTCGTATCAGGAGCTCCGCTTTTAGGCAGTGCCTAAATATATATATATTAAAAAACCGTTAGGTCATTTCAGAAAAGCGTTAGCCGTTCAGTGCAAACCGTTATAACGTTCTGGCAAAGCGTTAACGTCTCTCAAAAAATAGGCCTTTAAAATAGGCCGTTTAACGGAAAAGCGTTAAGACACGTTTTCCCATGGAAGGTCACATTATTATTGAGGCAATGCCTAAAAGCGGAGCTCCCAATAGCAGGGGGAGCCCAATTTAGTTAAAACTGAAAGATGAAAATAAAATCGGGCAAAAAAATCTTCGATTTCTTCTCTCCATCGAGATGAAGACAATGTCCGCCATAAACATCGCCAACTATTCCGGTCATGCGCCCGCGTACAAATGCAGCGGTATCGCTTGAAAGTGTTAAGCGAGTTAAGTCAGATTTTACAAAGAAATGTATAGAGAGTCAAGACAGTTTCGATTTATAAATTTCTGTGTAAACAGTTTTCCACTTGCCGGGGTAGAAGAACAATATATAACATTAAAGCATTTATTTTTTACCAAACATACTTTAATTTGTTTGGAAAAATCTTTTCGTCTCGATAGTTAGATTTTAACAGCCTTCCTTGCCATAAGTGCTTTGTTAAATTGCAAGAAAAACACAAAAGGTCAAATATTATAGCCTGCGTCACATCTGGAATTTTCTTCGTAAATACTTCGTACTGTATTGTTCATGCTTGATAATACACTCCGATCATATGATATGATCGGATATGAGATGATATCATATGATCGGAATGTACTATCAAGCATGAACAATACAGTACTGCTAATACATTCCGATCATATGATACCACACCAGACATCTGACCTAGGTCAAGCTTTCAGTAAACTAGAAAAAAGATTAAAGATTAAAACAGATTAAAGGTAATTAAACCTAGATATACGTCAATTTAGGTGAATTTAAGAAGCCTCACAAAACACTTCATTAAAGAGATTTAAATAGGACAYTAAAGCTCAGGAAAGTTAAATTTACTAAATTTAATTAAAAAATTTAAGTTTACTTAAATACCTCATTAAGTTGACTTTCATGTAGCTTTAATGTACATTAAATTTGAAATTTTGCCCTGTGCGAGTTTTTGTAATTTACCGAGTTTTGGTGATTGACCGAGTTTTGGTTATTGACAGAGTTTTGTAATTGACCGAGTTTTGGTGATTGACAGCGCTATTGTAAATCGACCGAATTTTCGCAATTGACTATTTTCATAAGCATTGATTGACATATGGAACGTGCTTGCGTAATACACATTCAAACGAAGTAAGAAGAAGCAATTGACCGAAACAAACGAAATGACAATTTTGAACCATTCCGCGCGCCATATGTTTTACCCACATTTTAACCTTAAGTTAGCAATAATCGTGCTTTGAACAACGCATTCTCATTCCTAGATTAAAATTTAAACCTCGATTAGGCGATTTAGCGTTACTGATTGATCGGGATTTTGACAACAGAATAACATCAGTCAAGTCTACGAAAACAACACCACGAAAGATACTCACATGCTCCTGACATTATGTTGACCATCATCAGAGGAATGAAGAATTTCAGGGTTCTAAGAGTCATTTTGAACACGTGGCGTGAGGCGTAGATAGAGTTGGCTTGGGCAAAACTAACGCAACGACCGACACTAAAAGCGGATGCGAGGGCGAGGGAGACTAGGACAAAACACACCACAGGGAACCCGGCTATATATTTTTTGCTTCTTTTAGAAAATTAACTTTGCTCTTTGTGGGTTTCCTGTGTTGTGATCAGTTTTCTTTTACATAAGCTGTAATGAGATCTGCGCTGTAATCAGATCTGTGCTGTGATCAGATCGGCGCTGTAAACTGATAGCCGTTTAAATTCAAATCAATAACCGTTGGTAACGCACTCTCTAGTAAACCCTCAAAGGAAACACTATGGAAAGCTAAAGAAATCCTTACCGGGGCTTTTCCAACAAAATCCCCTTATTATAACATTTTTATATAATTTTTTAAGTTTATGGGTTTTTTTAATGTACCAAAACACTTCAGTGCAATAACGTCAAAAAAGGTTTATTCAAAAAACTGGCGATGTTATCTTAGCAAGTCACGTGATATGTAACGTAATACACCCAAAATCGTTGGGGTGACTGACAGGCCACGTGACTACATCCCTGCCAAGTTTCGTAATCACAGGTTGTATTGCCGCGGAGAAAATGGGACAGGGGCCACCAGAGGTGTGGGGCCACCAGAGGTGTGGGGCCACCAGAGGTGTGGGGCCACCAGACGTTGGTGGAACGTGCCAACCCCTTCTCGCGTTACAAAATGAAAATAGTCGTAAGTATACATCTCTAAAATACATGTTCATTATATCATGTTCTATATACTAGTAAAGATGTTTATATATTTTCTTCTTTGCCTGGCGATATGGCTTATGATTTAGCCATTGTTATGTGGTGACTTCCGGTGCTTGTATGCAGGTAATGGGTCTGGTTTGTGTGGTATGATTTGTTTTACCATATAAATTTGAGTTCAATTGACCTTATAAAGGTCATGTTATTAAGAAAGATAATAATTATTGTAATATTATTAACGATTTTGAGAAATTTGAAGGTGTACAGATTTGCTTCCTTAAAATCACTTTAAAATATGATAATTATAATCAATCTATTTATCAAACTTATTAGTGTTAATATCAACTTCAACACCTTTGCTAATTATCCATAGTTCATCACATTGACAAAAGTAACCATCTATTGATTGGTCCTATTGATCAGTTTATTTTCAGAAAAGAATATATTTGCTATTATAACTGATATAATATTTGATACTTTGAACAATAACCAAACAGCTGCAACTATTATTTGTTGAACTCTCTCTCTATATACACATAAATTTATAAAAATATATATAATCATATTAAAATTGTGTTCATTAGGTTTCTGGATATATGGTACATTTCATTTTTAAACTTTTATCAGCATAACTACAATAGGACGAGGAAAGTGTTTCAGTTGTCGTCATGAACTTGGTCCATCCCCAAGTCTTGTTTTTGCCAAATACTTCAGTTCCTTTTAGAGAAACATCATTGACGCCAGGCACTTGGCTGATCACAGTCATCTGGTAAAAATTATTAAGTTATGTTAGTTATGAAAGCTGGATGTGTATGAAAATAACCATTAGTTCAAACAGTTTGTTAGGTCTCTCCCTTTATTGGGTAATTCAGGGTTTGATCTGTGAGTTAGCCCAATTATAAGAGAGGGAAACTTCTTATTGTTGCACGCACCATGTGAATTCTTAGTAACCGGATGTAGTTTAAATTTCGCCTTACACTACTCCCGTGCATCATCAACTTGTGCATTCCGTATCTTTCTGTTTATTTTTTTGACCACTAAAAACGAAACAGAAAGAGCTAATACGCTTGCAAGTTGATGATGCCTGGAAGTAGGGTAAGGCAAAATTTAAACTGCATCCGGTTACTAAAATAGCCCAGCCGAGATTTTACATGGCAAGTGCTACAATAAGAAGTTCTCCTCTCTTATTTATGCTCTCTTGGTTAGCTGTGCCCTGACATCTGCCTAGAGGTTGTTTCAGGGTTCAATCTGTGAGTAAGCAGTGCCCTGACTTAGATCAGCCCAGAGGTTGTTTCAGGGTTCAATCTGTGAGTTAGCCGTGCCCTGACTTAGATCAGTCCAGAGGTTGTTTCAGGGTTCAATCTGTGAGTTAGCAGTGCCCTGACTTTGATCAGTCCAGAGGTTATTCCAGGGTTCCATTTGTAAGTTAGCCATGCCCTGACTTTGATCAGTCCAGAGGTTGTTTTAGGGTTCAATCTGTGAGTTAGCCATGCCCTGACTTAGATCAGCTCAAAGGTTGTGTCAGGTATGGATAAAAAAATTAAATATTTTTTCAGATGGCTTTTGTTGTTTGAGCTGGTGAGATCATGTCATATCAGAACTACAATCACAACAGTTTCATTGGTATGTCCAGTCCAAGAGGTGTTTGGCAAGATAAGTGCCAATGTTGGACAGACATTGTCTGCTGACAACCTGCTTATTAACTTTTGATATTATCAACATATCATATTTATCAAAAGGCAGGTTTGGATACTGGTGGGTGTGTGTCACTACCTGAAACTTATAGTGGCTTTACTGCTGGGTACCACATGAACATCACCAGAAGTTCGCAAATGGTCTTCATATAATGTTAGGTATAAAGAGAGGAATGAATGACTTGTTTCTTTATCTCCATTAGGGGATACTGATAATCTAAGTCTGTAACCACATAACCAGAAAAAAGGACTTTGAAAGCTTGAGGCACAGGCATATTTCTTGCATAAAGTGGGGTAGTCAGGAATTATCCATGTGTAACTATTGGCACTGGCAAGTTGATCTTTTAAAACTTTTCTGAGAAATAATGATTAACAATAATCATCACTAAAAGATGAATAAACTAAGTTAAATAATACTATTAATTTTAGAGTGATAATAATCTGCAGATAATACATTTATTATATCAAGTTCACATGCCATCAGGGATTGCCTTATTGATATCAGCCAATCAGAGACAATCTAGTGAGTAGAATGTATAATATTTTAAAAAGATATTTTAATAGGAAAGGGGATTTATTTATTTTTATTATATACCAAGTGTCAAAGTTCAATTTTCCTCAATTCCTATTGGTCGAGAGTGTGTCACGTGAATATGAAGAAATTAGACTGTTTCCTGGCAACCATTCTGGGAGGGGAATATTATGTTATGGACCGGGAATAACAAAACCAGAAGTCAGACACGTGATTGAAAATTATAAAAACCGGAAACCAGAAAGCAACACATTTGAGCGCGCGTTTGCAAAATTCATTCACACTTTTTCTTTCAGGAAACATCATTATTCATTTCTCCACTTTTGTTTTGTTCTCTTTGACACTTGGTATGATAATAAAGCACTTATTTACTGGGACCTCGGGAAAGCAGTATGTTTTGTGGTCCCTCGACCTCTGATGTTTCCCTTAGCTCTGCCTCGGAAAACATCAGTGTTAAGTGTTAAAAAAATAAAATATATATTTATCTTACCAATTTAGAAATTCATTTCCTTAAGGACAGACTAACTGGGATTCATTTTACAAAATATGAACAAGCAAAAACACCTAGATCTGAATTCTATATCTTAGAAAATACTTAGATGTCAATGAAAAAAGTTGGGAAATGAAACATTGTGAATGGCTGAGGTCAACTAAGGATCTCCTGCCTGATTGGCTACAGTTGTCACTCTATGTAGTGATTGGTTAACTTTGTAAAAGTGGTCCTAGTTAGAGTGTCCAAAGATTAAGATTACAAATCATTGTATCATGCATACGTACCTTTACGTCTCTTAAAGTAGACTTCAATGTCTTCAAATCCTCCTTGATTACAACTACTTCCTTTGTCAACCTGTCACTTTTCTTGGCAAGGCAAGAGTTGATTCCCATCATCAGTTTGTTCTCTTGAGCAAGTAGTAACATGTGTGAAGACATCTTGTCCTCCAAGTGTTTCTCCATATCTTTGCGTAGCACTTGCTCTGAACATCCTTGGTGTGAGAAGGGGCAGGCAAGTGAGGTATTGCTGCATGTGTTGTCCAGATGATCTTTCATGGCACTCCTTTAATGTAATTATCATCACCTTTAAATTAGTATAGCAAATCGCACTGGTTATGAAGTCCACTAGCCAGGTGACTCAGTTCGATGGTCGAGCATCAGACTGTTGAGTGGGAGGTTTTGGGTACTATTCTTGGCCAGACCCACACTCAGAGTCTTACAATGACTGAGAAGAATGAGCTGCCTTTGTAATAACATCTACAAATATTTAACCTTCATATAGCATGGATGACCACTTAACTGTGTGGATACTCCAGCCAGGACCACTTTGATACACTAGTATCATTAACCAATCATATTGCGACCTTTAGTTCAATATTTTTAAGCAGCCAATAAGATAGCACATTGATAATAACTTATAATAAGTGAGTTATAAGCTGTGCCCTGACTTTGATCAATCCCTGGAGAGGTTGATCCAGAATGTGACAATCTGATTGGCGTACAATTTTATCAATTCAATTTCGGTCTAGTTTATTGTTATCTGATTGGCCAGTTTGATTCAAGTGCTCGCGGTTAGTGTCTCTCCACATTTCATTGGTACAAATTAATTTTGGAGGTACGTACTAAAAGAACCACTGTGGATATGAAGAAAACCTAGTAGTGACCACCCTCAATGCCTTCTCCTCATACTAACCACCTCTCATTCAAAACTCATTGTAAAGAACCTGAAGTTTCATCATATCCATATTGAATAAGGGCACTATATGAAACAATTCAGGGATTTATTGCACAGGCATTTCAACGAACATTTTAAACAAATTTCTCATAATGCTGTACCTTTGTATCTTGCTTGTTTCATGATTTGTATAACAGTTGTTGGGGCATGGGATCATTGCATCAGGACAGTCACTATCCTAGTGGAGTTGAAGATCATGTTGAATGACTTGTGCTTGGCAATCCTTGCAGGTCACTGTTCTATGTATACATGTTTGGGTATGATCATCAACATGTCTTCTCTGCACCATGGCTATACAGTTTGCATGAGGACATCGTACTTGGTAGAAAGCACAAACCTCTTGGTGTTTTTTAAGCTCTTGCAGCTTGCCATTCCAGTTACAGACATCTTTTGTGACTCCCTCATCTAATAAAATCATGAATAAATGATATGATAAGAAGAAATATAATTATATAACTATATTGTTATTCTGTTAATAACTATATATGTAAACCGAACACCAGTGTTCAATTCCTGAAACAACCTTTGGGCTGATTTAAGTAAGAGCACAGCTAACCCAAGATGGAGCCCTGAAACAACCTCTGGGCTGATCTTAGTCAGGGAACTGCAAACTAACAGATTCAACTGTGAACAAACTCATAACAGTAGATCAAACCTGGAAAAAACCTCTACACTGATCTAAGTCAGGACACAGCTACAGTAACTTATAATTTGAACTCTGAAGCACAGTGCTCAAAGCTGAACTTTTTTAAGATACTAGGCAGTGGGAAGCCTGTGAAAAGCCAAAGGTAACTGTGGTTTAGCACTATGGGTAGCATGGGTGGCGTTCGCGGCTAACGCGTCGTCTTTCACCGCTGTGAGTCCAACGGGTCGGGTCACTGGTTCGAGCCCTGTGGTCGCCACATGTGAATTGAGTTTGTTTGATGTGTCGTTCCCTCCTATGCTACGAGGGTTTTCTCCGGGTTCTCCGGTTCCCTCCCTCCATAAAAGTCAACATGTGAGTTGAGCGTTGTGTGCATAGAATATTAAATGTAGTGGTAGGGCGTGTGAGTGAAAAGTGTCCCCAATTAGTGCGAAAGCGCTAAAACGACTAGACACTTAAATAAAAGTGATTTATTTATTTATCTATTTGGTTAAGTCCATCTGCAAACTAGCAACAGCAACTAGCGAACTAGCTGCACGTTTTCTCATTCTATGGCCCCCAGCATCATACTTGGATTTCTAATTTTGGTGTGAGTTTCCATTGATATGTCAAAATATTCACACATAACTACCAAAACATTCCCAAAGCATGACCACCAGATGCAAGCTCAAAGACCAATAACAATATGGGTGTAAGAATGAATTAGCATAACAGCCAATCACAGTCTATAATATATAACCATTCAACCATGTTGGGGGTATTAACCAGAGTTAAACTAGGGCTGCACGCAGGCTAGGCAATAGGCTATGTCTATAGATCAAGTAGCCCAGCAGAGTAATCTGCTAGTCCAGATAATTAGTAATCCAAAGACCCCACTAGCCTATGGATTAGCGAGCCCTAATTTCCACTAACCCGGAGGARAGATTTGCTAGTCCCACACAAGTGAGCTAGCATTAGTGTTGAACACTGAAACAACTTCTGGGCTTCTCAAAGTTAGGGCACATACAGTACATATATGCTACCACTTACAGATGTAACCCTGAAACCTGGAGAACATGCGGAAAAACCCTTAAATAAATGGACAGACAAAACAAACTCTACCCACATGTGATGCCGAGACCAGGAATCAAAGTTGAGACACTTAATTCCCTGTGATCAGTTACAAAGATAATAGCCATACTACAGTACAACTGTAGCTCTCTCTATCAGTACTGTTTTAAGATACATCTCACCTAGAAGGCAGGGGCTATTTGGCTTTGCACTATAATTTATACTCAAAATAAATATGTGAGGCCAATTAGGGGAATCAAGTTATAACATATTATGAAGCACGAGGAGTAAGTGTTATGCTGTTGAATGTTTTCTCATCAGTTTAGTTGTGGGTTAGATCCCTAGACCAGCCATCATATAAGACTAGAGCAGTCCATTGGTTCTCTTTTGTACTTTGAGGGTTTTCTCCAGGTTCTATGGTTACCTACCTAAAAATGTTAAATTCAAATCCACCCTCAGTGAGTCCTCTACCAACTACAAACGAAAAAATACATAGCCTTACACAGTACTTACGAGTTTCTAGCTTTTTCCTCTTTGCTTTTGGTTCACCATTCTCCTTATTCTCCTCATCTTGAGCAAAACAGTAGACGTAAAGATTATTCACGATGTTATAAACAGTCAAGTTACGAACCAAGCTGTCAGTGATCAGAGTGTTATCCAAAGGACAATTCTTGCTCGTCTTCAGCCACAATTCAATAAACTCGCTGCAGAATGTGTGACCATCTTTGCAGCTCACAGGGTCTTGGAACACTCCATGGCTAGAAATAAAGTAAAAATAGAGTGAGTTTAGTGATTTTGGAGGCGAATTATTCAACTGTAGTCTCGTTTTGCTCACCATATTGGACAGTGAAGGTTTTCATCACATGAATTCACAAACTGATCGGAATTAAACCCCATTTTCTCAAACTGCTAGAGGCAAATATATATCTTATTGACCTTTCTTGGAGTGAATTGAGGGTTTTTAATGGATATATTAGGATAAAAGATGAAGGTTTTTAGGACCTCCGCGTTTTGAGATGCAGAAAATATGACGTACCCTATGCACGAGTATCAAGCTTAAACTGTAGCGGGAAATCCCAAGAACCTTTGCGTGCTTACTACGGACTGGGGAGGTAAGGGGCTATAGGCCTTTTGCAACAAACAGTCACGTGCTAATAGTCCCTTGGGGAAGGCTCTGCTGGATGGCAAACAAACTTAAGGTKACTCCCTACAGTATTTTTTGGTTCGGAGCAGCATATCATTTTCATTCGGCTTACTGATAGCCTTTATCTGCACCTATGGATTTGATTTTTGGCCTGGTTTAGAACGAAGATGAAAGTTTTGAATTAAGTTGATTTTAGCTTGATCGACGTTACCTTGGTAACGACTCTTCAAAAGTGAACATAATGATATAAGATAAGAGGTAATCGATGAAACTAATCAGTAAAACTCGTGCCGATACACAAATTATCTAAACTTTCAAACGTCCTAGTAATTTCAACAGAGAAGGTTCCTACCGCCTTACAGGTCATCTACCTGAAGAACGTAACACTAGTAGTGACTGACCGCCTTTGCCATGACAACCCCCCCCCCCCCCCAGAGGACAGTAGACGTGGCATGTCGTCACTCATTCATCGTTTCACTTCGTCATTATTCTAGTTATAGCCGAAACCATGTTTTTTAGAACGTCTACGCGTTTTATACGTAATGTTACATTTAATTTATCAGTAAACTTTCGCTTATTTCACTAAGTAGTTTCTCGTTTATGCGTAGTTTTATTTCATTGTTTGAAGTCAAAAGAATCTTTTCTTTAATAGATTTATTGGATAAATGCATGCATCGTTTTATCAACTTGATAAAGATTATATATAATAACCGGTGGATAGCGCTGTCCTGTTCCTGTTCTGACTCACAGAGGAGGTTTCAGGCCTGTTGCGAAAATCCCAAATTATTCTTTTTTTCTAGTTTTCGGGCATAATTTAATTTGTTTTCCGGATGTAAAAAGCACCTTTGTTTTTCCTGCGGTGATACTAGTAATGATTGGGCTTCACGTATAATGGAGGATCGTTGATTTACGATCGACAAAACTGAACTGAGGGTTTGCTTAGAAATACGAGACTGCTTTTCTTTTCTAGTCTAAGCGGTACTATTGGAAAAAAAAAAATATTATTTTATGCAGGTATCCCTGGCATGGTATCCGCGATATCCGTGCTATCTGCGTTTTCGCAATCACCTCAAACTCTTATTTAAAACCCTTACGAAACACAGAATGGGTTACACATGACTTGTATTACGTCACTTCATCGGCTAACTCAGTTTAAACGGAATAGTGGCCCAAGCTAACAACTCGTTTCTCCGTTTCACGACGAGTTAAAAATGATCCCTAGAAGCCTTTTATTTTGCATTCTTCTGATGGTCAACATAATCTCAGGAGCATGTGAGTATCTTTGGTTTTGGTTTCGTAGACTTGTGACCGTGTGTTTTTATTCTATAATTCCTGTTTTCTTTAGAACTACTGTATTTTTACCACCTACGCTCATTGACACTTTCAAAGCCTTCATCTAAAATTAGAGCAAAAATGGCCATCTTGAACGCATTCAAATCAATAGGTAAATTACGAGCCTTGTATGAAACGACTGAAGAAGATCGAGTGCCAATAGATGTGTTTTACAATTTTAAATCGCGTAAAAAAGTCGCTCAGCTACGCGACGTCGAAGGGTTGTTTTAGCTTCCTCGTCCGCCATCTCTGCAAGCTAAGCCTAGTTCGTGCAGCACTAAAGCACGTGTGATGAGCCCACGTCATCACTGTACATCTGCTTACTAATGGCATAGGTCAAGGGCACTAGGACACCGAATGTGGTTGGATTTCTATAGGTTTTTTCCCCTTTCGATTATTTGAATTAAATTAACGTTGTATACTTGTTTACTTATCTTGTGTTCGTGTTCCTTCGTTGTCTTCGTTCGCTGTTGTAGTGCAGACGTTTTCATTCCAAAGGTCAAACGGTTTGAATAGCCTACGAGCGTTACTTCTTTAACGGCCGTTCCGTACTTGACTCTGTTTGTACTATACCAACAACAACGCGACCGCGCGATGCTCTTTACGTCAGTAACATTCAACCGTCCAGTTAATATGGTTAATCAAATTCACCTTAAGTGATTTAATTCAAATAATCGAAAGGGGAAAAAACCTATAGAAATCCAACCACATTCGGTGTCCTAGTGCCCTTGCATAGGTCAAACCGGCACTCGTGCGTGGAGTTCAATGGTAGAACTTGAATGTTGGATTTGTGTAATCCAGCAATGACGGAAATAGATTATGTGTTTGTATCTAAAAACTTTAAAACCTTAGTCCTTGAACGAGAAACTCTAGTGGTTCATTTTAATATACTGTTTAGAAAATAACGTTCTCAAAATTGAATGCTGAAATTGATGTATGTCAAAAGAGCAATGTTGAATTTTGTCCAGACACGAAAAGCTATTAAAGGATTTTGAATCGTGGAACTCGAATGTTGGACGAGATTACAGCTAAGTTGAAATCGAAATCTTCAATGTCGGAAAAGCAACTAACAATATTGCATTGCAAGTGAAACACTGAATTCTTTACTAGAATGTTGAAAACCTGATGTTGAATTTTGTCGGGAATATAACGCCATAAGTTTCAGGGGTGTGCGGTTTTCATTTTTTGTGTCAAGTGGCTTTGTTTTACTTTTTAAAAGACTTACATTTTTAACAGTTCCGAGCGCAATCCAATCACGACATTCAGACAGTGAGTAATGTTTAGGAGTTCTATTTTTAGCTTTCTTCATAGGAAAAAATGAACTCATAAATGGTGCCAACCTAAAAATATGATATAGATATATGATATATGGTGGCACCTAAAAATATGATATAGATTGCTTATTGTATAAATATAAAAAATCTCCATAAAAAAGAACCTCGAAGTAAAAATAGAGCGATTATTAGTGAATTGTTGACTTTTTTTTTGTCATTTATTTATTTACTTATTTACATTCATATTTTAACAGGAAGCTTCTTCACTTATAAATGTGATTTTCAAGAAGGTCGTGATAAGTAAGATGTTTTGACAGTAATATGCAAAAAGAGAATTTGGAGGTTGAATATCGAAACCAGCTCGTTACTGAAAAGTCAACATCATTATTACTAGTATGTAAAATTGTAAAAGATGAAAAGTTCAGATTTAGGTTTACAGGTTTAAAAGAAATTCGATTTAAAATGGTTAATATTAGAACACTGTTTAAGAGTGTCACTCAGATTGTTCCATTCTTTCATGGCTTGAAACTGCATTGTWTGTTTTCCCCAGTTAGTTTTGGGTCGTGGTAAGCGAAACTCGCTTCCATGCCTCGTGTTGTAGCCATGCTCATTGAGCTTATTCAGCTTTATTCAAGCATTCGAACTAGACGTGGTCGAGTTCCTGAATCTTACTAGTAATTTAGAAGTTTCAAGGATCTCTCGTTCGTGAAACCACAAGTTTTATCTGCATCTGTAATTTTTTCTTTATTCACTTGAAGAAATAGCAGGTACTTGAGTAAGACAATGTCCAAATCCTTTACTCTACATCATCGGTTGGTCGCAAATGAAATATCTATCTCGCATTGTTCGTGAGTGCAAACACGCACACACGCGAGTCTTTTTAAATACATACGCTTCGACAAGGATGTCAAACAATAAATTGTTATTTTAAATCAAACAATAATTGAGCTAAATCCAATAAGTGTTTGCTATTTATTT